CTGGTGAGTAAGGAAATAACCCCAGATGTGATAACATATAATTCTTTGATTAAGGGCCTTTGCAAAGAGAGTAGGGTCATAGAAGCTGAGAATTTAGTGCACAACGTGGAGAATGAAGGTGTAACTCTTGATGTGATTACTTACAATTCTTTGATCGATGGGTACTCACGAATAGGGGATATGAGCAAAGCTCTTGAGCTCTACAAAAATATGGAAAATATGGGCATTAAACCTTCCACCATAACATACCATGCCCTAATGAGTGGACTTTCTGGGATAGGCAAAATGGAAAAGGTTGATGAGCTTTACAGTAAGATGTCAGAGAAAAATGTGATCCCGGATGTCATGATCTATAATTTATTGATTCAAGAGCATGCAAAATTCGGGGATGTTCAAAAGGCATTTACTTTGCATAAGGAGAGGATTGACAATGGGTTAGAGCCTGATGAGATGTCCTATACTAGTTTCATCATAGGGTTGTGTGCAGAAGGTAAGATGCGAGAAGCAGAGAAATTGCTTGCAGATATGAAAATTAGGGGATTGGTTCCTAGTGCTCTCACATATAATACTCTTATGGAAGGGCATGTAAAGCTAAATGATTACCATGGGGCTTACATTTTGTCCAAGGAAATGATTGGAAATCGCTTTTATCCAAGTTCTTTTAACTGTGATAAATTGATTACTGGTCTCAGAGAAGAGGGAAGGTTTCAAGAAGCTGAGCTCGTTTTGAGCGAAATGAACTTCACTTCAAGTTCATCAATTGATTAGCAGTTATGGTCACAAGATCCTTCTTTTGTGTTTTCAATGCCCAAGTGTAAATGTTAGGCATTCAAGATATGACCAGAGCACGCCATAGCATATGGGCTTATATGGGACCGTTGTTAGGAAGGGAGGCGTGATTATGAAAAAATGATTTCCCTCAATGATGCTGATGGTAAATGATACTCATACAGAATTACAGAAGAGTTGTCAAAGGAATGTATTTATGAAAGTTCAAAACACAAAAATGTTGTCCTTGTTTGTAAAATGCATATGTAGTTGGTATTGACTATAGTTTAAAGTCATGTACTGAGTTGCATTTGTTGAGTATGCCATAAATAATTATCTGTATGTATCATACAATGAATCTTAGATGAATGATGGCAAAGCATGCATGCTATGCAATTCTCATCGTGCGTCAATGCATTTGCAACATCGTTTTTGATACTGCTCCATCCTTTCTCCATTTAGAATTATTACCCTGCTGCAAAATTGACTTGATTTGATACAAGGCATTTGTTTTCTGAAAATTGAAGTTGATTGGATTGGAGGGACGTTCTTGCTTCTCAAGGTCCTCTTTGCTAGCATATGGCATTTTTCTTGGTACTTTTATTCTAGTGGTCACATATTATGTGCTGATGGTAATCTATTATGAGGTTAAAGATTGTTGCATGTGAGGTGATTAGTAATTTAGTAGCCTACTTTCGTCAGTGTGGGAAAGCAGGTACTCTGGTCGGGTCTCGCTAGGATCTGAGCCCGAGTCATACCCAGCCAAGTCTGTCTAGGACTCAACCTACTCCAAACAAAAAAGATAATTAAATATTTGGAACAGGCCAGGCTTAGCCAGTTCCGATCTGGTTTGTTCCAGACTCAGCTGCCTGCCATGTCCGAGTCAGACATATCACCAAATTTTAACAATCCCTTGGGTCTAATGTTACAATTGAACTTCTATTCCCTTGTCATTGCTTTTGAGCACATATGATACTAGGAGTTTAGGATGCATTTCCACACTCTTTGAATGCAAGTGCACTTTGTTCCCCCCCCTCCCCCCCCTAAAAGAATGCAAGCTTACTTGTTAGAACTTAGAAGTGTTGAATCACAATTGGAATTGTTGAATCACCCTTTGTTGTAGTATCTGGAAATGTACATAGAATGATTCAATGGAAGTGTACACAGAATGATATTGAATCATGTTCTTGAACTCTGTGTGCCATCATTTGTTCTGGCAGTCGCCAAAAGCCAAAAATTAGTCTCAGGTGAGCTAATCATACCATGGATCACTTATTTAAGTGTGTAAAATGTATATCATGAAGTGATTTTTGCAAAACTTAAATTTACCCTCAATTCAAATGTTGTTTTTTTAGTAAGGGAAGAGTTCAACTGAAGTTTGATATCTTGTTATGGACTTTTCCAAATTGATTTCTGGGCTAAACGTGTGTAACATGACTGATATTATAAACACATAAACAATGGAAAGTTAGTTCTTCCACATTCGCTGACCTAAAGGTTGGTTTTGAAAAATGAAACCAATAAAATTCAATCCCGCTCCAGTTATCGAACCTATTCCTTAAGTTACCACTCAACAATTCATTATCTCTATGGCCATCAACCATAAGAATGTCATTGTCATACTCCTGAGATGTGCAACTGACACCATTTTCTAACCACTAAGCTAGACTAGTCAAGTGAACAAGTGCCCCACTATATGATGTAGCATAGAATACTCAGCTTTTGTAGTCCTTCTCCCCTTTGTAGCTATTAATATATGATGATTGATTACATCAACTAGCATGAATGGTGCAACCTAAAGGACATAGCCCTTGGATAAGAGAAAAAATGCAAAACTAATAAATTAGGACAACAGTTATGGGAAGCACAAGATTCCTCAATCAAAATGGATTCACCATGAACTCCACTAAAAGGCTTCTCCATAATGATCATTACACTCCGGGAACAGTACCTACTATGAGCAACCATCTAATTACATTGAGCAAATCGCCTTCCAAAATCATGGGCCTGAGATAAGCAAAGAAAACTTTAATGCCATCAGGAAGGCTTTTACTTTTGCCTCTGTATGGTCACAAAGACCTCCCAGCCCCGTGAAGGTCATAAGCACTATTCAGGGTTGTCTTTTAAGTGTGCTTCCCATGCCCAATACCTGAAGGTTCCCTTGTGAGCTAAGTTTTTAACTGGTGACTTTTAAATTGAAAGCCAGTTCAAGGCTACCCATCGTAGGGATGGAACTTACAATCATCAGCTTTGGCTTGCCATGCATATCACCTTGACCAAAGCAAAAGAATTTGAGGAATAGGGTCCATAATATTTTTTTGATAAATGAGGTTCTCTAATGTTGAAATCCTTATCCTTGGTTATTTAGGAATTCATGTCCTAGAAACCTCCATCCATCTTTTCAACCCTCTACTCGAAAGTATTCATTCTTCACTCCCACTTTTGGTCCCTGCCCCAACTTAGATCTAATTCTTTGAAATGTTCCCCCAGATACTTACAGTGTTCTCATCGACCTACCTCTCTCTCTCTC